TAAGACACTCACAAAATGACAAGTACTGTATGGTCCCACAGATGAGTCAAATTTTCAGAAACACAAAGTAGAATGGTGGCTGCCAGAGGCTGGGAGAAGGGGGAAATCGGGAGTTGTCATTTAATGGATATAGAGTTTCACTTTTCTGAGATAAAAAACTTGAGGATATCTCCTGCACAACAGTGTCAATATACTTAACACTATGTAAAGGTTAAGAAATGATTCATATTGCAAATTTTATGCTATATGCTTCTTACCAAAATTAAAAATAAATTACTTTAAAAACCAATAGATGAAGGAAAATAAAATATTTTTTAAAAACGACTTAATTGATAAAAAGATAGAAAATAAAAAGCAGACGATTAAAAGGAAGATGAGGCAAATACAAATAGAACACTGCAAAATGGCACACTTAAATTAAACCTTATAAATAGTTTAAATGGAATTGCATTAAATAATCTACTTAAGGCAAAGACTGTCAGATTTGATAGAAAAGGCCCAACAATATGTTGTCCAGAGAATTACACTTTAAATACAAAGAAACAGACTAAATGTAAAATAATTGATAACATATATACCATAGCAACACAAATTATGAAATGCTTACGTGAAATTATTGATGCTGGCAAAAGAATCTTCAAGACAAATTATATTACTAGAAATAAATGGAACACTGAAGGATGTGGGCCACACTATCGCTTCCCATAACAAAGGAAATGGAAAGGGTGTCTCACCATCTTGGGTCTGCCAAAGGAGACTTTTGAGCACAATGGGAAAAGTGCTAACTGTCTTCCTTTCTCTGTCACTGAAAAAATAAAACAAGGATGTTCAATCTTCAAGCAGAATTTAGAGAAAACTTGAAGGAGCTGAGACTTGCTGAGTTTGAAATTAAAAAATTTTGCAATCCATTTCACCCAGAAAAATATTTTCAAACTGCTAAACTATTTTGTGGCAAGGATGAAGTCCAGTGTTTTTCAAAAAAGATGAAAGATGAAAAATATTTATACCTTTCTAGTACTTTACGGTCTGACACATAGAGAGTACTTAGCAAACAATAAAACTTCTAAGGAAATAGCCACCTAGGAGAGAAGGGGAGGTCAGAGAACAAAGGGTGTGACTCAGAATATGTTGAAACTAATGAAAATAATGATACATCATACCAAAACCTGTGAGATACGGCAAAAGCAGTACTAAGGGGAAAATTTATTGCATTAAATGCTCACCTCAGAAGAATGGAAAGATGGCAAATGAACAACCTAACACTTCACCTTCAAGAACTACAAAAACAAGAACAATCCAAACCCAAAGTTAGCAGACAGAAGAAGTCATTAAGATCAGAGCAGAACTAAATGAAATTGAAACCCAAAAACAATACAAAAGATTAACGGATCAAAAAATTGGTTTTTTGAAAAGATAAATAAAATTGACAAACCATTAGGACTGCTAACTAAAAAAAGAGAGAAGATCCAAATAACAAAAATTAGAAATGAAAAAGGTAATATTACAATGAATTCATTTGAAATACAAGGAATCGTTCGAGACTACTATAAACAACTATATGCCAAAAATTTGAAAATCTGGAGGAAATGGATAAATTTCTTGACACACACAAGCTCCCAAAACTGAGCCATAAAGGCGTAGAAAATCTGAACAGACCAATAACAATAAAGGAGATTGAAGCTGTTATCAGAAAGCTCCCCAAAAAGAAAAGCCCAGGACCAGATGGATTCACAGCAGAATTTGACCAAACATTCAAGAGGAACTGACACCAATTCTTTCCAAACTATTCCAAAACATTGAAACAGACGCAAATCGCCCAAACTCATTCAATGAAGCAAACATCATCCTGATGCCAAAACCAGATAAAAATACAACCAAGAAAGAAAACTACAGGCCGATATCCTTGATGAATATAGATGCAAAAATCCTTACTAAAATACTACCTAACAGAAGACAGCAACACATACGTAAAATTATTCACCACGATTAAGTGGGATTCATCCCAGGGATGCAAGGTTGGTTCAACATATGCAAATCAATAACTGCGATACATCATATTAATAAAATCAAGCACAAGGACCATATGGTCATCTCTATAGATGCTGAGAAAGCATCTGATAAAATTCAATATTCATTCATGACAAAGACCCTCTATAACTTAGGTATAGATGGAAAGTATCTCAACATAATTAAAGCCATATATGATAAACCCACTGCCAATATCATCCTGAATGGGGAAAAGCTGAAAGCTTTTCCTTTAAGAACAGGAACTAGACAAGGATGCCCACTCTCACCACTCCTATTCAACACAGTATTGGAAGTATTAGCCAGAGCAATCAGAAAAGAGAAGGAAATAAAGGGCATCCAGATTGGAAAAGATGAAGTCAAACTGTCCCTGTTTGCAGATGACATGATCCTATATATCGAACAGCCTAAAACCTCTACAAAGAAGGAGAAAGAACCAAACAAGAACGTGAATTCAGGTATTAGCCATTATCACAGGGGAAGGGCTATGGAACATAAACCATAACACAGAGTTGTTTCCCCTTGATTAAGAGACTGGCTTTTTGTACCCCTTATCAGTCAGTCATCAGCTATGGACCACTGGGGGTGGTGGGATAGGCATAATTTTCTGGGCAAGGTGGCTCCAGTCACCTGAGTATAGTTCTTCAGAGAAGGGGTAGCTGCGGGTTGTTAGTACTCAGCTGGAGAAAGGGCACTGGTCTGGAAGAGGGGACCTGGGTGAGGCACCAAAACAGTGTCTACCACAAGGGCCAACACTTATGAAGATTGATCTGAGGATAAATACCAGCTGCTTATGCTGGGTCTATGTGGACATGGGTTGAGCTGTGAATACTGGAAGGCAGAGAGAAAAAAGACCTCCCTGACATCTGTCTAATAGCCATGGCCTGCGATTGCAGCCTAAGGGCCATGCTTACTTGGCTCTGAGTGCGCAGGAACTTAGCATACATATTAAAGAAAAGGTATACTTAAAACTTTACAAGAAAGAAACAAGCAGCCCAATTAAAAAATGGGCAAAAGAGCTAAATAGGCATTTCTCAAAGGAAGATATACGAATGGCCAATAGAAATATAAAAAAATGCTCAACATCACTCAGAATTCAGGAAATGCAAATCAAAACCACACTGAGATACCAACTCACCCAAGTTAGGATGGCTAAAATCCAAAAGACTCTGAACGATAAATGCTGGTGAGGTTGAGGAGAAAATGAACTTTCATACACTTTTGGTGGGACTGCAAAATGGTGCAGCCTCTATGGAAAATGGTATGGAGGTTCCTCAAACAATTGCAGATAGTTCTAACATATCACCCCGCAATCCCACTGCTGGGAATATACCCAGAAGAATGGAAATCATCAAGTCCAAGGTATACCTGTTCCCCAATGTTCAATGCAGCACTCTTTACAATAGCCAATAGTTGGAACCAGCCCAAATGTCCATCATAAGATGAGTGGATAAGGAAAATGTGGTATATCTACACAATGGGATACTGCTCAACTATAAAAAAGAATGAAATACTGCCATTTGCAACGACATGGATGAACCTAGAGAGAATTATATTAAGTGAAACAAGTCAGGCACAGAAACAGAAATATCACATGTTCTCACTTATTGGTGGGAGCTAAAAATAAATAAATTCACTCACACATTTAAAAAAAAACCGGGGGGCCAGCCTGGTGGCGCACTTGATAGAGTGCGGCGCTTGGGAGCACGGTGGCACTCCTGCCGAGGGTTCGGATCCCATATACAGACCGGCCCTGCTCAGTGGTTGAGCGCGGTGCGGGCGCGACACCCAGGGTTGCGATCCCGTTACCGGTCACGAAAAAAGACAAAAAGGAAAAAAAAAACTGGGGAGGGGGGAGAAGACATAACAATTGCTATTACTTGAAGTTGATACAAGCATACAGAAAGGACACTGTTGGGAGGGTGGGGTGAGAGGAAGGAGGAGGGAGGGTGGTTTCAGTAATGGGCCACAATAATCAACCACATTGTATATCGACCAAATAAAATAAAATTAAAAAAAAATATGTGGGTGTAGCATTGGTCTAATGGATTTTAGCAGAATGGAAACCCATGTTTTTATGGCAGTGATTAAACCAGATAATTTCCTGTATCAAAAGGTCAGAGTCAGAAAAAAAATGAAAAAGGTCATTGGATCCCCCCACATATAATAACCAAAAATAGATAAAGAAAGTCAGTCAGCTGCAAACCCAGGCATTTAAGGAAAAGAATTATTGATAGGGAATGGCAAGTGCCCAGAGGAGACAGTGAAGAGGCACAAAGCATCTTTTCCAGGGTCCAACAATGGGCCCTAATAAAATACTAAAGCAGGTGCCTGATGGGAATGAGTAACTACTCAGTCCAGTGCCCTCAGGCTGCTGCCCCTTCTCACCAACCCTGTCTGAAGGAAAGTGAAAACACGGTCATGCCTGTCTGTTCATTGTAAGCTGGATGTGTTAAATAGATGACAGGACACTGGAGCTTATTTAGTTTGGCTTTTTGCCAACTGAACAATGGTTGGATATTTCTAGGGCTCTTGAGAGGGGCAAAGTATATCTTGCATGTGGTAGAAATTTATGGCCAGAGAGCAGACTGTGGTCTACTAAATAGTGCTGCAAAGTCTTGCTATTCCTCTTATTGAGAGGTGGAATCTAATGGCCTTCCCCTGAATCAAGGCTTGCTTAGTGATGTACTTGACTAAGAGAATACACTGGAAAAGATGCCTTGGTATGTGAGTGGAGATAACAAGAATCCTTGCGGCTTCAGCCTAGGCCTCTTGGACACATGTTCTGGCAGAAGCCAGAGAAACCCGACTACTCTGAAAATGCCACTCTGGGAGGAAGTCCAATATGGCCATGAAGAGAGGGCTGGATATCTGCTCAGTGTTCCCAGCCACTGGAGTTTTTCCAGCTCAGAGCAGAGTCATTGTGTAGCAGCAAACCCACACCACCCTGTCCAGTTTACTGACCCAAAACACTGTGACATGTAATAAGATGTTTTTATTTTAAGCCATGAAGTTTTCTGATACTTTGTTGCACAGCAGATCATTGGAACACCAAAAAGTTATTAGAGACCTTATGTAGTGCTTTAATTTGAAACATGAACAATGTAGGTTCACACTGAATATTACATTCAAAACGAAAAAAGAAAGCATTTTACATTTCACTTAAGATCTCAAACTACAATTGTGAATGATGTTAGATCTCAAACTACAATTGTGAATGCAAATGTTCAGTTAGTCTGTCAATTTTTGTTCTTAACTAGCTGTTAGCTACAGTTCCACTTTATAAACATACTGAGGACTAATGCCCACATCCATTTTATTCATTTGTTTTTACGTAATTACCTGGAACAAGAGAAGAATAAAATACAATCACAAGAAAGTTTAAAAACATAATGGGTCTTATTGAACTACAAACAGATAATTGTATATTCATAAAAACTACAAATAGAATCACTGATGTAAACTTATAGCAGCAAAAGATAGACATTAGGAAAATGTGTACTTTCCATTTTTATTATTCCCATGTCTTTACTGACGGTTGTTCAAACATTTCCCAATAACTCTTGAAGACTTTCTCCCTGTGGACTCCTAAGGATGTCACCACAGGTGCTTCCTAGAAGCACAGGTCACCAGGGATTGAACCTAATGATCTAGCAATACTTACCTTCAGATTTTTACAAGAATAATATTTCCAATGGAACAAAATTACTGTCTTTATGAGTACCAGCATTTCCCCCTATATTAGCAAGGTGTATATAAATCAGAATAAAATGAAAACTAAACAAACAAATGTAGCAGGAATTAACACAAGATAAAATTAGACCCAAGAAAAAGGCAGAAGTCCAGGAGAAATCTCATTTTTGTGGTTGTGTCAGTGGGTGCGTCATAGTGATAACACATATAAGAGAAGAGGAAGGAGTGGTTTTAATTTTAGGTTTGTTGACTTTGAGGTGACATTATTTCTCTGGCAGCTTGTTGGTGCAGAGATCTGAAGCCTGCACCTTGGTGTTAAAACACCATGATCTAAACAACTGAGCTAACAAGACAGCCCCTTGAGGTGCCCTTTGAACAGCTATAAACAAGCATTCAACAGAGTTCAACCTGACACTGATAGACATGGGAAGAAGTACCACCTGGAGAGAAAGAAGAGTACAAAATACAGAAGACTGAATCAGTGAAAAAGAATTTCACATGAGAAGAACAGGGCCCAGGATAAAGCACTGTGATAAGCTATGTTATAAAGAAGAAAGTAGAACTCAGGAGAAAAGAGCAAAAAACATCAGTGAAGTCATGAAAGAAACTAATAAACTAACAGAGAAGAATTTCCAAGAGAATATTACAAACAGTACACAATGTAGCAGAAGACTCAAGTCAGAAAAAGACTGGAGAATAATTATGGGATTTGACTATAATTTAGGTTATACTTCTAGGTTTTATCCATGAACCTAGTACAGTCTTCCAAAGTCACCTGGAACTAGATTTATTTTAGAAACTTTATATAAAGCTTACTAAGCAACTTGTGCCTTAGAACTAGGTAACTATTTCCACTGCAGGAAGTGAGAAATGTTGATTGCCAGGTCAGCAGTGAAAAACTTTCTAAGAGTGATGGTTTTGCAGAATTTGGTGCCACTAAGACCTCACATCCCAAGAGAATTTAGCAGATTCTCTTCTCAGGTTGCATTCCAATCATGTAAACAAGGTGCCTGCCTTTCCCCATGACATCACAAAGACCAGAGACAAATTTTTGTTCAAAGTAAATGACTCTGAGGTCTTAGAAACTGCTCGATCTACATGCCAACTTCATCTTATGTATGTACATTTCTTTCGAGTTTTACTCATCTGTACTTTTCGATTTTAATTTATGTACACCATAACGCACATTAATACAATAAGAAAAGAGTGAGTAATAAATAACCAAAAAAACTCACCAGAGGTTTATCCACCTTTTGTTGCTCTTGTAAACCCATAGCACACTCTGACAGCATAGCTGGGAGAAAAGAGAATGGAGTGGATTAAGGAGAGAACTGTTGTGGCTTGGCTCTAGAGTCTACTTTCCAAAACTCTCTACTTATTAGCTGAAAAAGAAAAACAAAAAGCCTTCCTGTGAGGGAACAGTCCTTTATGCCTCAATAAGGGGCAACAAGGAGCCCATTAAAGATGCAGCTACAAGTATATTAATAGTTACACACACACACAATATATTTTTGGGTAATGAAAACATACGTAACCTACTGACTTGGCACAAATCAATATTATCTAAACATATAACTGAATAACTTAAACCAAAGAAAAACACGTTGTAACATCACTAAAATTAGTGTTATAGAATCAGTTTGGCTATATTAACTGTTACCCTATTAATATATTAAATTCACAGGACTCCAAAACAGTGTTTTCTAAATACCTGGATAGTGTGCATCTTGTAACCCAGCACATTTTGTCTATGATTATACACGTAAACAAAATACACATAATGAATTTTTCTTCTGGTACACTGATCTCCCTGTACCCAAGTCCTCATATACTATGCGCTAACAATAAATTGGTCTTTGTCATGTTACCTGCTTTAGACAGCGGCACATTAGGAAATGTCATGCAAACACAGGTTTGAAAAGTACTGGCCACTGGTGCTTGCCTCTTAAACAGTCATCCTGTGAAGAAGCCTAGAGAGACACAGGGCCCAGCCAGCGGTCAGCACAAACCAGAGGACATGTGAATGAAGCCATCTTTAACCAAACAGCCTCAGTGAAAATACCAGCTGACTAAGTACACATTTGTAATCAAGGGAGCACTAAAATGAGAACTGCCCAGCTAAAGGCACCCCAATATGTGGATCCATACAACTTCAAAAATATAAGATGGCTGGGTTTTTCAAGACATTGGGGTTTGATTTGTTTCTTACATGGCAAATGCTGAATGATACATCTAAGTCCCCCAAACTCAAAACATATTTAAGAAAATTATGTGGGTGACAGAGTCTTAAATTACAAGTCAAATACAATCAATATGATTTCACGACCACAGGTAGAAGTTTTGAAAATCACAATGTTAACCACATGTACTTCAGTGAGGTTTCTAGCCCTAATAGAGGCTATGTGCATCAGTTGTGTGAATAATTATTTTTTATGATTCACATAGCCTCTATTAGGGCTAGAAACCTCACTGAAGTACATTCACACATCAGTAAACTAAGCTGTAAGTTTTGTTTTGTACTGTTTTTCACATCACAGAAAGTTATTTACTTTAAGAACATACAACATAAAAATGGTGTTTCTTATAAGTAACTAATGCACTGTACCAGGATAGTTTCAAAAGTTCCGGGAAAAATAGAATGAAAAGAGAATAGACATCTTTCCATGAACTTTTTGAAGCACACTAGTATTTTAGTTACATTTAAGAAATTGGTTTGATTAGAAGGGAAGTACAGTCTAATTTTCCCATTTCAAATAACGTAAATTTGCCTTGAATATATTCCTGCAAAAGTTATGATTTTAAAGAATACGTTACTGATATTAAGTGAGAAATACTTACATTATTTACCCATTGAGGTGACATAATTCAAAGAAAGTATTGAAGAGAAATAAAGAAAGCCCATTTACAATTGTCACAAAAAAATAAAATACCTAGGGATCAATTTAACTAAGGAGGTGAAAGACCTCTGCAATAAGAACTACAAACCAGTTCTGAAGGAAACTGAAAAAGACACAAAAAGATGGAAAGATATTCCATGCGCCTGGATTGGAAGAATTAACATTGTGAAAATGTCTATACTACCCAAAGCGATCTACAGATTTCATGCAATTCCTATCTAAATACCAATGACATTCTTCACAGAAATGGAAAAAATAAACTTACCTTCCATATGGAACAACAAAAGACCCCAAATATCCAAAGCAATCCTGAGCAAAAAAAATAAAGCCAGAGGCATAAAGCTACCTGACTTCAAATTACACCATAGAGCTACTGTAACCAAAACAGCAAGGTACTGGTACAAAAATAGATATTCAGACCAGTGGCACATAATTGAGAACCCAGAAATCACCCCTCAGGCTTATAGCAATCCGATATTGGACAAAGGCAACAAAAACCTACATTGGGGAAAAGACTGCCTCTTCAACAAGTGCCACTGGGAAAACAGGATATCCATATGCAGAAGAATGAAACTAGATATGCATCTCTCGCCATACACTAAAATCAACTCAAAATGGATTAAAGACTTAAATTTAAGTTCCAGAACTGTAAAATTACTAAGGGAAAACATAGGTGAAACACTCCGGCAACTAGGTCTGGGCACAGACTTTATGAACAGGAGCCTGAAAGCACAAGCAGCAAAAGAAAAAATACACAAATGGGACTATATCAAAGCTTCTGCACAGCAAAGGAAACAATCAACAGAGGGAAATTACAATCTACAGAGTGGGAGAAAATTTTTCCTAACCATGCATCTGACAAGGGATTGATAGCCACAATATACAAGGAACTCAAAACAATTACATAGTAAAAAACCAAACAATCCAATCAAAAAATGGGCAAAGGAGCTGAATAGACATTTTTCAAAGGAAGACATACAAATGGCCAACAGGTACATGTAAAAATGGTCAACATCACTAGTCATCACGGAAATGTAAATTAAAAGTACATTGAGATACCACCTCATCCCAGTTAGACTAGCTATAACCTAAAAGACAGTGAATAACAAATGCTGGTGAGGGTGTGGGGAGAAGTGAACACTCCTACACTGTTGGTGGGACTGTAAATTAGTACAACCACTGTGGAAAACAGTATGGAGGTTCCTGAAACAACTACAAAAAGATCTTCCATATGATCCAGCAATCCCACTCCTGGGTATATTTCCAGAGGAATGGAAATCACCATATCAAAGAGATACTCGCACTCCCATGTTCATCGCAGCTCTGTTTACAAAAGCCAAGACATGGAACCAACCTAAATGTCCATTGATGGATGATTGGATAAGGAAACTGTGGTATATATACACACTGAAATACTACTCTGCCATTAAAAAGAATGAAATACTCCCACTTGCAACAACATGGATGACCTAGAGAACCTTACCTTGAGCAAAGTAAGCAAAGCACAGAGGGATAAATACCACATGTGCTCATTCATACGTGGGAGCTAAGAGAGAAACGAGGAAGGAAAGAAAGACCACAGTGGTGCATTGGACTTGCAGAGGGAGAGAACATTCTCTGGGCCACAAAGTGGAGTTGGGAAAAGAGCGGAAGGAGGTTGGGAATAACTGGGTGGGGGACACAGGATACAAATGCAATTTGTGGGAATGGCATACAGCCAGTATGAATCTGGCCCCCACGTCATGGGCACGGGGGGTGACAATCAACTTTGTATCTCATGAACATACATAACCAATAAATAAATAAAAGGATAGGGATGTTTAAGACAATGTTAAAGCAACGTTTGCTCTAAGTTGACTTCAGCATTATAAAAATAATTTCAAAAGTGAACAAACTCTTGTTTAGACTTAAATGTGGCAAAATGGAAAACGGTAGCAAAAAAGTCAGGATGTCTAACATCAACAAATCATGTGA